TTCAACGATGGACAGGAAAGTGGATGCTCTCGATCTCACACGTCTCTCCACCTCAGAAAGTGTGAAAGAATAGAGGCATAGGGTGTCTCGTGTCTGTCACACAGTGCAATCACATTAGATGGAGGCTTGACCTGAGTGGAATGGAGGACGAGGAGGGGCGAGACGGTGTAAGACGGTGGGGAGGTGAGAGGAGTGATGCGGTGTGCACCAAGTGGGCGACAGATGGGAGGGTGAGGAGGAGGGGTGAAACTCGCAAAGGAAGTTTGATGAAGGCTTTAATGAGAGTGTGGATCCTGACGACTGGATGGGCGTGGAGGCCACAACGAGAGCGTTGAGGCAAAACACTCTAAGAAAGTGCGTTCTAAGGGGACGGATGAGAGAGAGGGGATGAGAGAAATAAGCGAGAGCAGCAATGGTTGGCTTTCCAGTCTGATATGTGTATGGATGGATTTACCTTGTATTGCCATGTGACATGGTAGGCGTGTTTGCGTCTACGCCTCACATGTCAACGGCACAGTTGTGCGTTGTCAATGTTTGGTCAATTAAATGGAACAATCACAATGGTGAAGGTAGCATCTCATAGGACCTTAGAGAAAGCACACGTTCCCTGTAAAGATGGGCAAAAGGCGTTAGATAATTTTAGTAGTCGCGAATGACTTGGTCGCAATTTTAGCAGAGAATTCTCCAGTTAAAAGGGAGGAGGAGGAGGAGGAGGAGTTAAAGCACACACACACACACACACATATAAGCACCCCACTGGAAGTGGTGAAGAGACGACCTTGTTGAGCACAAGTCAGATGACCTGACTTACCGACTGACTTGCTGAACGCGTGGATGAACGACTGCTTCCCTCGGCGCAACCCCATCCACACACACTCACAGCTGACTGCATGTTCATTCACTCGGCGAGGTGGTGAATGCAGGAGAGTGCGAATCAACACTGAGTGGTCTTAGTGACGCACTTGGTGAAGAGGTTGAGACATCAGAAGAACAGCAAAGGTAGGGCTCAAGTGTCCGCACAATTGGGCAGCACAATACACTGAGGCAAGCAGACGTACATCAGGTAGGAGTGGGGTGATGATGAAACGGTGGCTGTCGCGCATGTTGCGCATTAACAGTGAAAGAGGAAAAAAACGACGAAAAGCACAACACCTTTGTTCCCAGTGTGCTTACTTCTGTACTTGTTGGTCGGACTTCCATCCACTTGGACGCAATTTGCCACACCAGATGTGGCAGCGGGTTCAGAGGCGTTGGTCTTGGCGACAAGCGGTGACAAATACGCTGGTCGACTCGTGTGGTCGCGAGTGCTCCAACGACTCCACACGAAGGCAGTCACAACATCGGCCTCACCACCTCTCACGCTACCCCTCAGCCACTGCGTAGACTATTGACATGCAGTGAAGTGGCATTCAGACGCTGATAGTTGACAAGTCGGTCGGAAGTGCGAATGGGTGGCATCACTCCTCCTCCTCCTCCTCCTCATCATCATCATCATCAGCAGCAGCAGCATCGTTTGGAAATGTTTCAGTGGTGGTGAAAATCATTTGTAGTGAGGAGTGATGGGATGTGGCAAAGGTCTCACAACGTCGTACATCCGTGGTGTGGTGGCGTTGAAGGTGATACATCGGTTGGTGGCGGAATGGAGTGGAGAGAGTGTGCGTTGGGAGGTGCGGCAGAACACTGGGAATGGTGAAGAGTGATTGTCTACACTGTGGCTGCTGTAGTTGGGCGGTGTAGGGGGGAGATGTTTGAGCGGCACAGCCTCTTCGCTCTCTCCATGGGCGAAATCCCGCTCCCTTCCTTCTCCCCAGCCGCGAGGATGGCGTGGGAAGTGGGAAGTCATTGCAACGACCGATGACGAGTGCAGCATGCAAGCGAAGTGGAGGAATGTAAGGTGGAAGAGGACGGCAGTGAGTTTGACCAGAGGAGAGGGTGACGTTGAATGCGAATGTCGCAGTGATTGGTAGCGTGAGAATCGGTGTTGCAGCCTCGAGAGAGCTGAGGTTATGTGGTCGCGTGTCGTTGGTGTTCCACAAGGGAGGTGGTTGATGAAGGAGAACCTTAACACCTCATCACCTGTGCCGAGATGTTAGCAAGGCTTGGAACGGAGGCATTCAAAGTGCATTGGCAAATTCAAGCCAACAAGATGCGTG